TTTAAGGTTGCTAACGAATTTTTTTAACGTGGGTAAGGAAATTTTTTGACGTTGCTAACGACTTTTTTTTACGTTGCTAACGATTTTTTTAACGTTGCTAAGGAATTTTTTTGACGTTGCTAAGGATTTTTTTAACGTTCCTAACGAATTTTTTTAACGTTCCTAACGATTTTTTTAAAAGTTGTTAACCAATTTTTTTACCGTTCCTAACGAAGTTTTTTAACGTTCCTAACGAATTTTTTAAAAGTTGCTAAGGAATTTTTTTAACGTTGCTAAGGAATTTTTTTAACGTTCCCAACGATTTTTTTAAAACTTGCTAAGGAATTTTTTTAACGTTGCCAAGGAATTTTTTTAACGTTGCTAAGGAATTTTTTCAACGTTCCTAACGAATTTTTATAAAGTTGCTAAGGAATTTTTTCAGCGTTCCTACCGAATTTTTTTAACGTTCCTAATGATTGTTTTAAAAGTTGCTAAGGAATTTTTTTAACGTTCCTAACCATTGTTTTAAAAGTTGGTAAGGAATTTGTTTAACGTTGCTTAGGGAACCATAATAAGAACCATAATAAGAACCATAATTAGAACCATAATAAGAACCATAATGGGAACCATAATAAGAACCATAATAAGAACCATAATAAGAACCATAATAAGAACCATAATAAGAAGCATAATGGGAACCATAGTAAGAACCATAATGGGAACCATAGTAAGAACCATAATAAGAACCATAATAAGAACCATAATAAGAACCATAATAAGAACCATAATAAGAACCATAATTAGAATCATAATAAGAACCAGAATAAGAACCAGAATAAGAACCGTAATAAGAACCATAATTAGAATCATAATAAGAACCAGAATAAGAACCAGAATAAGAACCATAATCATATGCCCAATTATGCTCAAAACTCGAATCATGATTGGTGCAGCTTGAATGCCAACCGCCAATCAGAAAGCCGGAATGTCACGGAAAATTTTCACGGGACGGACTTTTCGAAATTATAATATAGATTTGATTCCATGTCTTCCTCCTTATCTAATTAGTTAAATAATTTTCCTTCAATTTCAGAATTATGGACCTGTTAAATGATTGAAGTGTATCCGACATCTTGCGAAAATGCTTCCAGACAGATGTTGCAGTTTGGTCGAAAGAAAAAAAGCTGACTTCCTACCTCCCTAAGTAAGTCTGCGTATTCGAGTAAACCCAAAATTCCGACCGCATACAAAACTAACTGATGTATCTTTCAATTTAAATATTGTATCTAATTTTATGCAGTTTAATACACCCAGTTGACAATTGCTAATTATAAAGGTTAAAAAATCATAATTGAATTTCCTTATTAAGAGTTGATACCCCTTTATGGATCGACCATTTCAATCTGTCCCTCCCTCCAGGCGCGCATTAAAACTTCGAAAAATTCGACTTTTTCGAATTCTGTGGCCACCCGTATTGCGCTATAGTCCAAAATGTGGAAAATCTTAGCGAGGTTTTTTAACCTAAACTTTACCTCAAATATGCACGGAAATCGGTCCTAGCATTATGTTGACTATTATTAGTAATTCCAACCACCATGGTTTGCAATCCGTTCTGCGCAGAAAGGAACGGAATTTTGCGGAACGGAACAGCGCTTTTCTGAAACTTTAAAAATCCGTGCGGCACGGATATGATCTATCCTGCGGAATATATTCCGCTGATTCCTGGCGGAACTGCGGAATTGCGTGGCTTAAATTCCGGATAATTTCGAAACAAATAAACCGTTGTAACGTTAGAAGTAGCTCACCCTGTAATAATGATTTTGGCATAATTTTACACCAATGGTGCAGAATAGGCGGATAATATAGTCGCACAATTTTGGTTTAATTTTGCATTAATAGTGCAGAATAGGCGAACACAATGTATACATAATTGTGATATAATTTTGTACCACTGGTGGAAAATAAACGAGGAAAATGAATTCAAAATTTTGACATAAAATCTTGACAAATTCTAGGTAAAAATAATAGTTATTTCTTCCGGCTCTTATGCACTTTTCGTGCATTTTGCATCTGTTCCTTCAATTGTTTGGCACCATTGTGAGTCGCCGATTGTTCGATATCAGTGGTGCTAATAAGTCCGTCACAAATGCCAATAACTCGCTATAGTTAGCATCAATTGATGCAAATGAGTCGTTAACAGACAGACAGACAGACAGACAGACAGACAGACAGACAGACAGACGGACAAGAGGAATTCAATAGCTCCCGTGCTACGCAGGGTGAGCTAATAAGCGATGGAATTTTAATCAGGGTAAGGAAACCCTGGGATTTTGCTATTGAAAACCCCGGGGTATTACCTGGGTTTTGCGGGTGGTCGGGGTAGTTGGGGTTTTGGGGGCAAACTGAGCCAGTATCCCATGTATTCAGGATTTCTAAGTTATGAAAACAATCTGCTTTTGCAGTAATGTCACAACAAACCAGCTTATTAATTCAATTTTAATAGCTAATTAGCTTGTATAATTGTAAATAATGCCCTGTTGTCATATATTTTGCACTTAATTAAATTTGAAAACCCCGACTACCTCGACTACCCCGACTACCCGTGGGTATTGCTCAAATTTGCTACCCAAAACCCACCAAAACCCGCAATACCCCAAAAACCCGGGGTAGCATACCCTGATTAAAATCACTGACTCCTCTCACTTATCCTAATTCACAAGCAGAAGCTGTACGGTACATATTCTCTACATATTTATCGTGATGGGAAGTAGTCATGATGTGACCTGCTATGTGACGTTCATACCGGGTTGGTCATGAATTAGAATTCGAAGTACAGATACATACACTACAAATGGCAAAAAATATTTGTATCGCAAATACATTTCTGAAAAATTTTCCAAAGTATATTACAAAGTTCACTACACATTGTATTTCATCGAAAATATAAAATACTGTATTTTTCATACATTTTAAAATACACAAAGTTTTAAATGCCAAAATCCGGGGAAGTGAAATCGACAATACATATTCTAAATTATCAGAAATTCTTATTCAGAATAAGTAATAAAGTACACATAAAAGTACTAAAATACTACCAAATACTAAGGATAAGTACTAAATCCGTCGGAACGGAATTGCGTCAGAATTTTCCTAAACGGTGTTAAAATCCACATGCTCTGATCCGGCCGGAATAAACTATCATTTCGTTCCGTCGGAAAATTATCCCTTCCGGATGCCATATGTAATTCCAACACAATTATGCTCATCATTTATGCTTGCGTTTCCAAATTTTGTTATTTATTTACTTAATGCCCATAAATCATTTCACAGCCGTAATGCAACTAAATATTTAATTATTGACGAATATGAATACGTATTTTAAGGAATGTCCTGCACACCACCAAATGGTAAGTACCTAGTGAAATGGACACATACACTGCAAAAAATCTGGTGTAAATTTTACACCGCGCGGGGTGCATATGTGGCTACACCGGCATGGTGTTAATATTTGTCACCGCGTGGTTATAAAACTGTCACCGTCTGGTGACAATTTGTCACCATGGGGTTGCAATTTTACACTAGACGGTGAGAATTTATCACCAAATGGTGTAGCCACATATCGACACCGCTGTTTTGCTAATATTTTTTGTATTTCATAACTTGAGATATTTTTGTGACTTTTCGACTTAATCTCTTGGGATTTGTTTCGTCTGAAAACTTACCCAATATTTTAAAATATCCCAGCTCAAAGTGTCTAATCATATTCAAGTTCACAAACCTCTTTGGAGCATACAACATTGGGAATGTCAGCGAATATCCTGTCACCCAGCCGATTAGAAATGTGACGATGAAAACTTTTCTCTCCGAATTGACACCATCAGATGATTTGAATCACGTCCACCACCAGAATAACAACTATGCCCGATATTACGGTAACTTTCACCTTATCCCGCACGAATTATTTCCTTCCCATATCATAGAAAAATGGCTTAAATTCAAATATGGCTAACAATTGTAGATTTCAAAACATCAGTTTAACTCCCGACCGTAGAAACATTTTTTTAAGAAAGTTGACCAGCGACCTTGATTGATTGATTGATCGTTTCTATTAAAGGAGTCGTATGAGCGTCAGCACAAGTGCTGGTTTTCAGCTCAGGACTCCGGAAGACAAAATTTCGAATATAAATTTGCAAAACATAATTATTAAACTAATTAGCTACGTTCTATGGATTAATAATAACTATGGGTCATTTACTCGTAAATAATTATTTAAAAAAATTAATTACTATAGTAATTAATTTCTTCACATTGTCACAAGAATATGTCATTTTGTGGAAATCCAACTTTCGGTAGGTCATTCCATAGTTTCTACGTGCGGTAAAGAAGGGATCTCTTCATGGATCTCTTCATCATCAACCCGTAATAAATTATAACAAAACAATTACCAACAAGGAGTTTTTCCATACTGTTAATAAATAATTGACAAAATATCCACTAGAAAATCTTTCTGAACACAATTTCCTGGAAATCAGCTATACAAAAAGGTCCCTGACATTTACACGCACATACATAAGTACAGATTTACGTATTATTCACATAACCACAATATACACAATAAGTTTGGGCAGCAGTAATATTGCACGTCTTCGACTCGATCATAACAAATCAATCAAATTCTTTATAAATCCGTCAGCCCTCATAATAAAATCAAGACTCCAATCAATTCACAATCTCCAAGAAAGCCTCCGGGGCAGACGATGTCACATACACGTAAATAGAGATCAATGCCTCGAATCATTTTTTTGTAACTTTAGCCTTGCAGAATTAATGTGTGGCTTAATTTTGCATTAATATACGAATACATATCTCAAGTGTCATCTTTATACCTTGTATGTACATGCACAAATTTTCATGAACATGTAACATTTCGTATCACTACTGCAGCAGGATATAAATATTATTTTCACATCAAGTCAAATCAACTCCAGAGTTGTGTACGCCGTGCATTTTATTTCGCCGGCAAGACCAGTCAACATCCACCTTTCTGAAGTTTTGATCATCATGTTTGCCTTCAATTTTCTTTTGATTTTAATATTTTTGGAAGGGTTGAAATTTGGCCGATTGGTGAGTCCCACTCAAAGTCTCAATATTTTATACATAAATAGATTTTCATCTAAAAATTGACATACTGGCCATAATCCTTACAAACATATTCAGTTTAATTGCCAAACAATTTTCCATGCACGCAAAAAATGCCGTGTTATGTAGTTATCACCGCGTGGTGTATATACGGGACTTCGCCGACGTGGTATTAGATTTTACATCGCCTTGTGATAATACGGACACCATGGGGTTATAAGTTTTACACGTATCATGCATGCACACCGCGCGGTGTTTTGCAGTGTATATTTAATGTCGTTACACAATAGTCGTTACACACTTGTTGCTGATCAATAAGCTAATAAACCGTTGCAAACGAAATGTAGCAAAGGGGTGAAAACACACATAAATGTCCTTGTGGCACACCCACATCGTCTGCCATTACTTTCCCGTCATTTGCCCCAATTATCTCACATTACCCCACGTCTCATTTCGCCCCGTTTCGACATAACTCCCGCGTACTTTGAACGTACACGACTATACCTTTCGATAGACACCCCACATGGCATAATTCAAGTGGCGTCGTCTAAACGGTCACACGGTCATCGTACGTCAAAACCATGTCGATTTTCGAAATCCCCGTCCCAAAATACGTCTAAAACAGTCGAAACAAAAAATTCGACACCTATTCGACACGGCGTCGTCGCCATGGCGCCGTGACCTTAATACCTACAATGCCCATCTTCGAACTCATCCATACTTTAAAAATTAGAAATACTTTGGCGCAAACCGCATCTCGATATTCGCATCCGTTCTAAAGTTATCGTGGATACGGACAGACAGACAGACGGACAGACGGACAGACAGGCGGACAGACAGACAAGACATTCCCATAAAGGGGTATTCACCCCTTAATAATTAACCCCCAAATTAAGGGACAGATTTTTCATAAATCCATAAATTCCGCCAGAACCATCCGTAATTAAACCGAGTATTAAATACCTTTCCAGGTCCAAGGTACGCTCACGGATGATTTGAACGATGACGAAACCCTTCCTCAAAATCTGAATGATCACTTCGAACGCGTGAGTAAAATTTCAAACAGGATGTTCACCCTTGAATTCGACTTAAAAATTCAACTTTTGACTATTTCTCAAGGTGGTCAGCCATTTAGAAAAAATCCCCACGAAGGTTGATTTTGCCGCTTTGGAGGCCAGATTTCACGAGAAATTGAAACGTTTAGAAGCCGCTAATGATGTAATGAAACTGCCAACACGCATAAACAAATTTGTAATATGGAATTTGAGTAAATAATTTGCAACTTACTTCATTTTACAGTCAAACTTAAACGAGACATGCAAGTTTGTAGTAGAGCTTCAACTGGAACAGGCCGCCATCTTGGCAGATATCAGATCCACGAGTTCCAGGATGTCTCAAAACATTAGCGCCATCTTGACGGAGTTTGTGTCCTTGAAAAATAAAGTACGTACGGTTTATGAAGCTGTAAATTTTAATTTTGCAATGGAAAATTTGCAACACAAATTGTAGTATTAGCAATTCGAAAATTTCCACGATTCCTTCCCGAAATAGCTGCAAATTCATAAAAAATTAGTTTTACTCGAAGTGGTATCAATTTCGCTTTTAGCTATTTACAATTCTCTCCGAACTTTCAAAACTTTCGCGCACTGTTCGTACGGAATTCACACAAAAAATTCTAAATCTCATGCTACAATTTACATCCAGGTTGACTTTGAAACAGCGAAACATTCCTCAAAATGTGGGGATGATGCCGGCCTGGCAGACACTAGATTTCGCTCTAAAAAAGTAACCACCTAAGTATCAACTTGCTTTCAGAATTAAAATCAATTAATTAATTTGACAATGACTCAGCTGGTCTGTGACAATGAGTGGGTCATAATTCAAAGAAGGGGTACCCCAACTCCGCTAGGGAAGGAAAGGACGGATTTTGAAAGAATTTGGGAAGTTTATGAAAATGGATTTGGCAGCCTTGACGGAGATTTCTGGCTCGGTACAAATTTCAATTTTGTGCAAATTTTCTTAGCACAACCTAATTGTGCTTAATCCTAAATGCAATGTATGTATGTAGGTTTAGAAACCATTCTTGGCCTCACGTTGGAAGGATATACACAGTTACGCGTGGACCTCGAAGACTGGGAGGGGAAGAAGTACGCGATGTATGACGTCTTCAGAGTTGCTGATGCCCAGGAGAAGTACAACTTAACGGTGGATGGATACTGGGGAACGGCAGGTGAATGATTGCCAATGCTGCCTAAAATTTGTGTAGCGGGTCACGTTACGTGTGATGGATACGCCAACCAAGCTATGATACCGAGATCCGGAAGAGCGGTTTACAATTGACCTGTCGACAAAATATTAATGGATTTTTCTACGACACGTTTTATACATCTACGTTAGGTTAGGAGTGGTCAGAATAAACGTCGACGTTGAGTTGTTGACGAGTCCGTTGTCGACAAGACTACTGTCGACTAAAAATACTTCGACATTGCACTTGTCAACCCCTATTGACCAACCTTATGCCAGCATACCAATTGTGGAACGAAAATCCCTATAGATCTTGGAACATTAATTAGAAAATCATAGAACTGATTTGTACAATGTGTAGAAAACTCAATTATTAAGTAGCGCAAGCTACTTTATGCGATCGGTTAGTTAGTCTGTCTGTCTGTCTGTCTGTCCGTCTGTCTGTCTGTCTGTCTGTCTGTCAACACTATATGTTCAGATTCCTAATATGTATAAATATTTAGGAATTCTGTCTTTTGTAGTTATGTAAAATGTGAAACTAGTTCAATCCGGATTTATGCGGATTGAACGTAGTTTACATATTTAGTTTGCATTAATGTTGCAGTAAAGGCATGCAAATCAATGTTTGTCTGCACGGAATTGTGAAAGCGGCGGAAGTTATGCACGTTGCACCACTGCTACAGATTGTAAACTCATCTTACGCAGATGAGTTATCCAGTTTTGTAGTTTGTAGAAATTGTAGCATTTAATGATATGCATGCATTTGTTCTAATGTTGAACAAACAAAGTTATGTATGTAAATAATCCAGTTTTTTCTGGAAAGAACTGGAAATACCAGTTTATTTTTAGCTGGAAAAGAGAATGTAAGATTTAGCATACACGGGGTCGTGTCGGTCCGACCTGCAGTATAAAAGTAGCCACGGTCGAGACGCGAGCTAACATCCATTCAGAATCTTTGTAACAGAAGGTTGTTCTGCACAAGAGTGAACCGCAAGTCTCAAGTTGCCTCAAATGAGGAATTGAGATTGCAATAATTGTACCAAATTACCCACATGAAATATTGTCTCAAGTTAACCATAAGTAATTAATATACCAATTTAACCCAGATTAAACCATAATAATAGAAATAGTATCATGCACAGTCTGTATGTACTTATGAATTAACCCAGAAATAAACCAACAACATTTAATATAAAACTTAACCAATTGAAGTTAACTACGAATTCATTTACACAACCATAGAGCTTTATGCAAGGAAACTGGTGCCCATTAAGTCAAGTTGCGCTACACTTAACATACACATACTCATAACTCAACACCGTGAACTTACAACTCACGCACCTCTTAACATTTTACTTACGAATAAAAACACTATAACTCGAGAACGCATCAAGATAATCGAAATCGGTTTGCGGCATCATACACAGGACCCCAGGAGGAGGATCCCGTAAACTTTCGGACCACACCCCCTCGGCGCCAGGGGGTGTGGTCGCAGTATCATCGGGGCAAAATGAGATTTATAGCGCAAATTAATCTATGGATGAAATCCAGTTGAATTATGTGTATCTGAGTTGTGCCACACCCACTGGGCGCCAGGGGGTGTGGTCGCAGTGTGATCGGGGCAAAATGAGATTTATAGCGCAAATTAATCTATGGATAAAATCCAGTTGAATTATGTGTATCTAAGTGGTGCCACAACCCCTCGGCGTCAAGGGGTTCGGTCGCGGTGTGAGCAATTAATTAATTCGAATGAATTAATGAATTAATCATTAATTAATTCTAATGAATTAATGAATTAATCAATAATTAATTCTAATGAATTAATGAATTAATCATTAATTAATTCTGATGAATTAATGAATTAATCATTAATTAATTCTAATGAATTAATGAATTAATCATTAATTAATTAATTAATTAATTAATTAATGGATCAATCAATTAATTCAATTAATTAATTGCGCAAATTAATTCTCAGCATTCTCAGCATTCTCAGCATTCTCAGCATTATTGCGCTACTTATGTATCGTGCTTTGCCGCACTTTATTTTCAAGTTGTGTCTGACAACGACTCTCATGAGTTACAAGATATCAAAAATTATCACACAAAATCAAAACGAACTCTCTTTCCACAATTTTCCGCAAACTATCCTACACACGAACTAAACACTAAATTTGATCTCTTAAAATTACTTTATTTTCCAGGCGATTCTTTCAGCTATAATGATGGCAAGGAGTTTAGTACATATGAAAATGACAACGATAACGCCCTGGGGAATTGTGCCGCAAAGTGGCGGGGTGGTTGGTGGCATGGGAATTGCTCTTACGTGAGTGCATTTACATACGTTTCGAAATAACCATTAAATCAGAGATTAACTAGTTTCTCATGACTTTCTTCCTGACTTATTAGGCATTCCTCAACTCCATCTACCATAATTCCAGCAGCGTAGAAACCCCTGGTCTAGGAGTCATCTGGCACGATTGGCAAGGTGCCCATTATTCCTTGAAAAAAGCCGAAATGAAGCTTCGCAAGCCACTCCGGCTCATCTAACAAGGACTCTGAAAACTAACTTTATTCACTCATATTTTTATGTTGAAGTACGTAAAATTTTTATTAGTGCAATGCTATAATTTAATTTTACGTTTTAAAAATATTTTATAGAAAATATAGAAATTATTTATAGAAAATTTACAGAATATGGGATAATTTTGAGATAAAATCGCATTTTGTAGGTATGAATCCAAGTAGAAATTACTGCTGAATGATTTTCAGAAATATTTTAAATATTTCAAATCACCGAGATGACATCGATTCTGCAACAGCCCCTTCCGCCCATCTTAAATACAATGGGAACACATTATATTACCAGCGTTCAAAAACTTATGGCACTTTTTTAAAACTTAATAAAATTGAGAAAGTTCATTCTCAAAATGCACAACATTATTTTTGAATGATGTTTTCATCTTTACAAGTTGAATAATTTTTTTGGGGAATTTTAGTGGTGTGAAGAGCGAATGGTCTGCATCGTCAAATTGGTGTAAATAACGTGCAAATTTTCACAAGTTGCAACATAAGTAGGAGTTGTGAAGAGTATTAGCAATTATTACTCAGATTTTGGAATTTTCTACCTTTAATTTACATATCAAAGCAATTATTGTTTCTTAAAGTGGATTTGCGACTGCCTCAATTACTAATATATTAACTGGCACACAATTATGTACACAGCATTTTACTGTATGAATGCCCAGTATTCCGATTCTTGTCTGCAAAAAAATATGAGTAAGCAATCTGTCACCCTGTAAATAAATTGATTGTTGCTTTAAGCCAGGTGATGTTAACTATGTAAATTAGTATAAAATTAGGTTTTAAGGTGGAACTCAAGCCCATAAAGCATATGGAAATTAATATTTTCAGAAACTTAAGTCACCAGCCATTTTTTGTACATCTTTCCATGAGTTTTTCCCTCTTAGATTTTGAGAATTGTGTAATTCTAATTAAAATTATGTCCCAAGCGAAATTGCGAATGCTTAATCATTCACCTTCATTATTACTCTGATTTCACATATACGTGAAATAACATAACTACTCCAATTTGCAAACCTCTACATCAAGAAAATCCAAAATCATAAAGTTGTCACTTTTTCAAGTAGCTATGTTCGCCTGGGTTAGAAATCGAAACTATGATAAGGAATAAATTTTGCAACACAGTTCGAAAAGGGTAAAAAGGAAATAGCTTATACATGGTTTTTTAACCGTGTATATTTGCACTCTCTGTATGGGACTATCCCATATAAATTTGTCAAATCTCCCAATCGAGCTGAAGTTTTATTTGGAAGTACATTTTGCTAAATTATCTGGGTCAGAATTTAAGTATTTAACTGAAATCATATCAAATATTTGGGAGTTACTATTATTTAACATCCGGTCCACATTTAACCAAGAATGATGCAACACATATTATCTTATTATGTACACTCTTAGCAACTTGGTAATAAAAAACAAGCGAAGTAGATATATGAGCGGAGGGTACGTGAGAAGTTCAAATCAGTGTTTCTCCGGTTAAAAAACATTTGCATAAAATCGTAAAGGAAAATCTAGGTATTGTTTGCTCTGGGACAAATTTTTGGCCCTTACTATGAGAACATATTGGGATATCGGAAAACTTCCAACAAGACTCATAATAAGTTGGAAGTTTTCCGATATCCCAATATGTTCTCATTAGCCTTTGAAAATCACACATATTTTCATAGCATTTGATCATACTTACGTTGTACCAAAGCAGAGAACAGTATTAAAAAATATGTTGATACTATCAGTTCAAGTGAATATGCATGGCATACATATTTATATAAATTGTAATCACCGTCTGTCTTTGATATCGGACTTGATACAAATTATGGTTTTCCGAAATATGGTTAAAAATGTATTACAGGATGCAATTATTTTGAGCCATTTCTCCGTGTATTGTTTGTGGATAAACGCTATTAAATTACATGCGAACATATCTAAAATAATTACGATTCAAACTGTTTACAACGCAAAACAAAGTTTTTAATTTGACTTTGACTGGACGCTAGTTCATATCGAAACAGTCCTATGAATGCCTTAGACCTACCGACATGGCGTCCAACCCCGTTTCATCCTCGTTTCTCGAACATTCTACTAAATTTGGTTGGTCTTATTCCCAACCTCGGATTCAATGGCACAACGGAAAAAACTGTTTGGTATACAAAACACGTCACAAGCGCACACTACTCTGGGATCTTGACATGTTTTTAGCCGTGGATATCTGTGGTTTATCATCGTTTGGATATTTACTGGTTAAAAACATATTTTGTCGAAACGGAAATACGGACACAATTAGTTTGATTCATTCTCTTATGATATTATTTTTCGGCATGTTGAACATTCACGGGGTATGGTTGCACGTTATGACCGCTTTTTATGGCGAGGATGCCGTCAAGGGATGGAACGGGCTGAGGAGGTTGGAACGGGATGAGTCAAGTAAGCCAATGGTGTTGAGGCCAAAATTAGTAAGAGTTGGTCTGTAGGCTTGTGTGGTCACCTGTAAAACGCAGGGATCAGGTTCGATTCCTGGTGGTAGTTGTGTTTTCCGAAAGTTGTTTCCGGGCATGTCACAGTCTCAGGGTCCAAATTACCATGGGAAAAATATACCCTTTGATTTGAAGATACAAACAAATATAAACATTGAGGGTATTCATGCGTACTTAGCAACGTTCGCAAAAAAATTAAAGTTGGAAAAATTAGCAAAATTTTTGCTTGAAAATCGGTTTGCAAACTAGCGCATCTTTAGGGCAAGTTGTTGGTGAGCGAAAAAGTTCGCACAAATTTTAAAATTTTATGTTTCGTTGCATACTTGCGAATTAAGCTTGAATACCCTCATTGTTTGTCACCACTGAGTAACAAGTTATCGGTATCAATTCGTTGTAGTATGGTACGTACGTATTAATATGGAATCCATTTTTAGCCATATAAAGCCCAAAGGTCAACAGGGAAGTGTTAATGTTATAAACTTGTCTGAGAAGATAAATAGTGTAAGAATATGACCTTGCAATAAAAACTTGATCTTGTACACGAGTACGGACCATAGGACATCTGTACCTCCGTTCGTAGCAGATAAACATAAAACTAATTCCTATTTTTGTTAAACAGGTGAGAAATCGGGTGAGAAATTTTGTAATTAATTACTTCGTTATCTATAAGAAACAATAGAGAAGGCAAAACTTATTGGTAATTTAACTGGTAATGGGATTTAATGACTTTATGGTAATGTAATTGAAATTAGTAATTAATAACTTGGTGTCAATTGATACTTAAAGCAATTAAATATGTACAACACGTAGCTGATTACCTTGGGTTACAATTTTTGAAGGGGAGGTGGTTGGGTATAATGACAACAAACCTATACAACAATGATCCTTCCTCACTAAAGTCAATTTGCAATTTTTAAAATCAAATTTGGTGAGTTGGACACGATATCATTTGGCATTTTTACTGAACAATTTAAGATAATTTTAGGGCTCATTAATAGCCACTCGTTTAACTATTGAAGTAGGAACATTGTAACATTTACGCATATCATGTCATCCATGTACTCAAATATCACGCATCGTGTGGTAGAAATTAACGTCTCGCATTAAAACAATCATACAGAAATATTTAAAATTTTATTCTGAATATTTACAATTTAAATATTTTGCTGTATTCGGGACAAATAATAGGATTTCATATTCGATAAGTTATTTAAATATTCTTCAAAATATACCAAAGCTGCATATGTACATAGATACCTACGTATTTAATTCTATGCACTATAATCTGTGAAAGATTATTTTCAGAAATTTAAGAAAATATTAAATACAGACAGATATTATTGCTTTAGTGCAAAACCCATTCAGTCGTCAACCTCCATTTCGTCTGGTCCTGATATCTTCTCACCTTCCCCTTCTTGTCGCCCAATCGCAACTGGCTTTTGCCCGTCGATCAACGACTTTACCTCGTCATCAAAGGATACTCGGTGCCACACAATTCCATACAACGTAGGCCTGAAACTGCTGTTCGATTTTACATCGTCCAACCACCGCTGTGAATTCGCAATTGTCTCCATTAATTTATGCACGTCGTCAGAGTGCAAATTTCCATAGCGAAAGTCATTCCTGTCCAGGCGAATCGCGACAATTTTGCGAGCTTCCTTAATCGAAATTTCCATCTGGATTAGAGCCAATTTCCACGCGTCGGATTCGACTATGATGTCATATATTTCCTGCAAAAATGAAATATCAAAGTCATCCTGGGGAACTGAATTTGGCTAATGAAATTCAGATCAGGGTTCTATTTTTTAAAGTAGGCAAATCGTTTACAAAACAGTCATACAACAAAATATTAAGACAATTCAGGTAGTCCAAGGTAGAATTTTAATTAAATACGTAAATTATGTCACTTACAAACTCCTACAAATATTTGTATTTTTGGAAATTTGCTCTGATCAAGAACTTTGTTGTCTAGTAAGCATACTTTTTGTTGGAAAAGTATGTACAGATTGTCCGCAGATTACGTGAACAAGACAATTTCATGGGTAGCATGCGAACGCATGATCCAATTTGCGCCAAATTTGGCACACATAATTTTGAAGTTCACAGAAACACATGTGCCAAGTTTCAAATTTCTATCTTTAAAAATGCGGCGAAAAATTGACCCCAAAGTGGAAGAGTCCGTGAAAGCGGTTTCCGAAACTCAGCGGTTTCCGAAATCTGGGTGTCAGCACAACATATAATATTGTCAATTGCAAAGGAAAGCGACGATAATCAGTTGCATCCGGCCAAGGTATACCACGAAATTCATAAAAAAGAAGAATTCTGCCACCCTCAACAAAATTGACCGTCTCACTGATAAGGCGAATTCCCCGACCCAAATAGAGATCGCAAAGCCATGCCAGATATCCAAGTCGTATATTCATACAATCATCCATCAAGATTTTGAAAAAACCGTGCAGAAAAAGGCAAAACTCCACGTACTAAAACCATCTCATATTGCGAACAGAAAAACAAACATTAGGAGGCTATATGAGGGTCATCTTGCGGGTAGAAGGTCCGAATATGTCGTCACATTGGATGAGGCACTCTTCTTCGTTGGAGACTGCAACAGGTCAAGAGGAATTTGTTACACAAAGGACCGGAAACGAGTATCAAACTATGAGTCCCAGAAAAAAGAAAACTTGTCTGATCGATTCATTGTGGTTGGTGCAATGACGGGCCCTGGGGTGATAAAATTAATACCTGTCAGGTCAAATGCTAAAATTAACTTAAACTAATGTTTTACGAAAGTTGTTAGAAGTGGAAATTCCAAACAAGTACCCTGGGGAGTTGGAAGTTTTCATCCATCACGACGCAGCACCGTCACCTACTGCTAACTTAACCCAGCCGTACGCCCAAGATTTAAAAACAAGAACCGGAAAGACCTTGATATCTTGCTGGGAAATGCCCATTAGGTCACCTGACACCAGTCCGATGGATTTTTTTGGATTTGGATACCTAAAACAGAAGCTTTTTAAGAGGATGGCATCAACTTTGGCTGGTCTTCGGAAACCGCTTTAACGGACTCTTCCACTTTAGTGTCAAATATCCGACTAATTTTTATAGGTGGAAATTTGAAACTTGGCACATGTGTTGCTGTGAACTTCCAAATTATGTGTGCCAAATTTGGCGCAAATTGAATCATGCGTTCGCATGCTACCCATGAAATTGTCTTGTTCACGTAATCTACGGACAACCTCTGTAGCACCATTTTGCATTCAGGAAGGCTTAACCTAATCTAACCTAACCGACTGCGACCTCATTATCCTCATTGCCTCGTTATTTAATTAATATGTAGCTTCTCCACTAAGCAAAAGAAAAATATGTATTAATTTTAAAAAGGCAACAACTGGGCGCTAATAATAGGTTGAAAATCAAGTTGTTTTAAATTTTAACCTTCAGCACCCGTAGACGGACATGATAAGCTTCCTCCTGCTCGTCACACCCATCCTCATATAGCCAATTTTGTAACATTTCTAGATCGGGAATATCAACTTGGGAATCGTCTCGCGTCCTGTCTCGCAATTTGTAAAGATATTCCTCAAGCTCGTTCTTAACGTCCAGCCTGCTCCTCTCTTTACGGTCGAGAGCAATCATTTCGTTCTACAGTAGAAAAATAATAATTACAAATACTATTTTATGAATACATTCGGAAAAACCTACAGTGCAGACTTGATATAGCCCGAGTCAGACCGGCTGTAGTTCTCACCTAATCCGACTTGTGAAATCTTGTCGTAAATACATATTAATAAATTTAATAAATGATTATTTAAATTTCACTTCATATTCTTCTATTAGTACCGAATTTCAGCTCTACACTGCAAAAAATCTGGTGTAAATTTTACACCGCGCGGGGTGCATATGTGGCTACACCGGCATGGTGTTAATATTTGTCACCGCGTGGTTATAAAACTGTCACCGTCTGGTGACAATTTGTCACCATGGGGTTGCAATTTTACACTAGACGGTGAGAATTTATCACCAAATGGTGTAGCCACATATCGACACCGCTGTTTTGCTAATATTTTTTGCAGTGTATATAATAATTTTGAAAAGTCAGTATGGGTCGTACAATGGGGTCCCTCCGGACAAAAATATTTCCGATTTTAATTGGTATTGTTCAATTAGGGGTTTTTAGCAACCTCTGTACCAAATTTCATCTTGATTTTTACGATTTTGAAAAATCGGTATGGGTCACCCTATAGGGTGCTTCTGGTAAAGAATTTTACAAATTTACTTCATGTCTTTCATATCTTTCAGTTAGTAGCCATTGTCAAGGTCTGTGCCAAATTTCAGCTTTCCATGACAATTTTGGAATTTTTGTGCCGGTCACCCAAACCACCCCCACCGACTCTACTGATTTTGCTCATCTTCGAACTTAACTCCTTATTTGACCCACACTACAAGGGTACCAAATTACAACTCGATAGGATAAGTTTTACGACCGTAATCGATGGACAGACAGACAGACAACATGACGGTTACATAAGCCCTGACTCGGGCTAAAAATACGAATCATATAAACACCTCAATCTTTGTTATGTCTTGAACATCTTGCTCCGTCAAGCCTGGCCTTTTTGCAGTAATGGGGAGACGATCTAGTTTTAAGCTGCTTTTGATTCGGGCCCTCTTTTTAACACATTCATCCTGTTGCACAATTAAATACCGAAATTATAAAATTGTACATACATCCTGACTTATTATTTCTCACAAACGACCTACATTTTTGTGAAACGCAGTGGCTTGATTGAGACTAAAAATTCCGTCAGTATTTATCCCCACGTCGAGGCGTAGCTCGGTCGTGTCACCAACTTCGTAGCCAAAGTTATTGACGGAATAATCCCCTTTTTTTACAAAAAATACTGAAATTACTAAATACCGTCATTTAAATTACACGATATATTAGGATCACGACAGTCACCGATTTCTTGAAGTGGGCACATCACTTTAAATTTGAAGCTGTTCCCTTGCTTATGCAAAGTGACGGAGTCAGAATATGGGACAGGACCGTTAAGTGGGACAACTTCTTTCCACCTGGTAAAAATGTGCACACAAATTCAGAGAGGAGAGCAAAATTAACAAAACTACTCACACACATTTCAACAAATACGCTCTGACTTGCGCTAAAAATTCGCACGGCTCGCTAATTTTGCAAGGTTAAGTAAATTTTGAGTTGAGTAAATACTACATATTTGACAAATTTTACTGAACTCTGTCTAACGTTATCTCACAAATTGAAACAAATTATGGATGCTGACAGTAACGCACCCACTTTTATCAAATAATTTCGTACCTCTCCTTACCCATCTTCTTGCAAACTTTCGTCCCAAACAATTCTAATTGAGTGATATTGAATATCCTGAACTTTAAACGGTTTAATTCCACACGACTTGGAGAGTATTGCACACTGCAAAGCACACCCTTTCGCCACCGATTCGTCCTGGTTGAGGGTTGTTGAGACGGACTTCTTAAATACTTTCGAGATCAGATCCTTAATCGCCGGGATGCGGGTTGTCCCACCCACAATTTCTACGGAATGAATGTCCCTCGGCTGTAGCTCTAATTTAGATGGGGAACAAAATATTAGTGGTGTTCACGCCTACAAACGTAAAACCAGGTAACGTGATTCTATAATGGGGGAGCTCAGGCAGCTCTAAAAAATCTCGCTTGCTTCGCTTTGTTAACAATTTCGCAAGTGTTAGCCAAGGTGCATCATCACCGTCACTCGAACAACCAATCAGAGCTCAACATTCTAATCTAGCTGAAATCTTGACAAGCGAGACTCCAGAGTGGAGTTAGTGTCGCTCATTTGTTAGCTTGTAATTTGGTTTAGTGATAAATTTTAAAGTTCGCGCACAATCTCACTTTATCCAACACAGGAGAAAATTCTAGGGGGAATTATTAAGCGAAAAGAGTTTAGTCAGATGCTCGCTTAATCCAGCGAAATTTCTAACCAGGCGAAGCAAGCGAGATTTTTTAGACTTGACTGCGGTCCCCCAATATATCTTCGCAACTCTGCATTGTATGCGAAAAGCTGCGATGCTAAAATCAATCAGATGCTTTATTTTTTTGCGACATATTCGGCACAATTCTAATACATATCTAAGTAAATAAGGATTTTTAGCAAACTCGTCGTTAACTGAAATTTCAGATCTGTCATTTACGGTTGATGAGCTTTTATTTAAAATAAGTCGGCGACTTCCCAAACACCGCAAAGTTATGAAGATCTGTTGCAAAGGACGTTTTCGATTGACGTGAACACCCAAATTATTTATGAGAATAAGCTTGAAAATGGCTAGATAGTATTGAGGATATTTATCTTCAATACTTCCTAAATTTGCAGGAGATAGAATTTTTCTCATTTACTTACTTGAATTATTCAAACAATTTTGTAATGTGGTTTCCACTCTCTTGAACAAAGATTGGCTCATCGTTTCAAACTCGGCTCGACATATCTTGCCAGAAACGTCTCTATCGTCCAGGAGGGATTCAATTTTGAGGGGAAGAACGCCTGCATTTGAGGACATGCTTTTCTTCACTTTCTCCAATTCGGTTAACAGTCTGGCATAAGAGCGACGGTTCGTTTCCGGTTGGATTTTGTACTTGTTTTGAAATTCGGTGCAGAAATGGTGCGCTAGTAATGAATCAAAATCCCTTCCGCCAATTGATGGTGACGAATCGGAAGTCAAGATCTGAACAATATTAAGGATTAACAAACAAACAAATTATGTTTGTTAAATTTACTCATGGGTGAGTAAAATTGAGGATGACAACAATTTGATAAAAATCCAATGTTGCAAAAAATATGCAACATTGGATATATTTTGCATAGCGTTCAGTCAGATGGCTCGTTGCAAGAATAACGTAGGAAATTTAGTTCATAATTTTTGCACACAACTTGCAAATTATTGTCCTAGGTTATAAATTCCGATCGACCCACCTTGAGGTTTCCTTCGTTGAAGGCGCATACCCAAACTTGTAAACTCAAGTGACCGCAGTCAACAAACGCCACATTTCTAGGGGCTTCATCCTCGCCCGGGAGATCTTCCCGGTAATACCCGTATGCCAAGGATACCGCTGCCGGTTCACTCAAAAGTTGCAGAACATTAATGCCCGCAATTTTTGTGGCGGCTTGGAGAGCACGGCGCTGCGGGTCTGTGAAATAGGATGGCACCTACAAATTATAAATATTTTTAGAGACCGAATAAATATTTATTATAATATGTGAATAACGCTCCAAAAATAATTTAAGAAAATTCTCGGAATTATTAGATCGAATCATAATGATGTGACGTAAAAGCTTATTTCTAAAAAAAATAATCCACTATTCCAAATTGTCACGGGATCGATTGTTAGTACTGTAAAATATTTTACGAACAAAATATGTAGATTAGGCTGGTAACCTTATTTACTTCGACAAGGATAATGAATGGCCTCAATAATTTAGTATAACGATTTTCATACAAAATCGCGAAATTTATAATACAATTGGCCAATTTCGAAGCTTGAATTTAATTCATGAATCTGATACTCACCGCCATCACGCAATTTTTTATCACACTCTTTAACACCGTCTCGGTCGTTTCTTTCAATCCGGTGAGGAGCATGGCCGTGATATCTTCTATGGAGTAGACCCGCTCCTCACCGAAATAGCAGACTTGCACCGCCACACCCCCACTCGGATGAGGGACCAGTTTATAAGGCACCCGCTGAAGCTCGTCTAGCACGAAGAAATCTTCCCACCGCCAGCCAAGGAGGGGTTTAAAGGAGGAAATTGTATTCGTCAAATTGGACGTTTGCTGATTTGCAGCGGCGACGCCGAGAATGCGATTCTTCGAGGAGAAGGCGACCACTGATCTGGGAATAAGAATTAGTTATAAGTAGTAACGAGGTTTAAGCTAATATCATGAGTGACATTTTAAAAATATGAGAGTTCGGATTTTCGATAAATGGTATAATCCCCAGAGAGCGATGTAGACATTGATGTTAAATTCCAAGTGGTCAAGAAAAACTATACCGAAATTTTGCCGTTATTTTAATAGTAATACTAAGTATTTAGTACACTCAAAAAAACGTAGTAATAATCATTACTGTTAGGAATGACTATGTGGCTCTACCACGTCGGGTATAGATTGTCACAAAAATTGTAATAATATTCTCTGCGAAATTCAAATTTATTACAGTGTGGTATTTATTTTGTTTCCACACTGTAATAAATTTGAATTTCGCAGAGAATATTATTACAATTTTTGTGACAATCTATACCCAACGTGGTAGAGCCACATAGTCATTCCAAACAGTAATGACTATTACTACGTTTTTTTGAGTGTATATAATTATTTTGCATGCATACCAACCACAGATTATTCATTTGAGGTTACTTTAAAATGTGGCAGCGCCAAATAATGGCGAACCTAAATATTTTATTTTCCCACACTATTTCCTACGTATACAAATTATTGTGAACTTACGAAGTTGCTCTCAAACTGTAGTCATTATCCACCGTTTCGACACCACCATCCTTCAGGACGGCGACGAAGGAAGACTGATTCCCAATGTCGATCCCAATCATGATTATGTTTTTGTACTAATTTCTTATTTGTACTTGTGTAATTATTATAAAACGGCGCAGTTTCAGAATAGTAATTACCGCTAAATACAAATGTCTACCTATTTAGTTGACGGGCCGGTTTTATAAACGTTATATTAACAATCAGCTGGAGCCCGGTTGTGAGATAAAACTGTGCAGCGTGAAGCAACGCACCACTTCCACACAAAGAGAGAATTATGTACGCATCTCATATCCTGACAGTTGTGAAGAGCTATGCGTATATAAATGCATGGATTGGGGAGAACTTGTATTCCAGCCATGTTAAATAACGTGGCTGCACAAGAGGACAAAATCCAGTCCCAACCAAACTTCACGGCATGAATCTACAAATTCTACAAATGCGAGACTGATTGACTTTACATACAATTCCATGAATCCCGTTTCGTTGAACTATAAAATGGTTGCAACTTTTGGTTTACGAATTTTTTCATCTCTAAAACAATTTTGTTTTAAAAACTTGCCTAATATACATATGTTCTTACACACATACTTACTTATACGGTCAATATTAAATGCATTTTATGTATGCATTTTAATGTTTGTTTATAATATGCCTCTTAACGACGAAGTATGCACATTTGTGTAGTATTTTGTTTATCGTTGACAACAAACAACACAAATATGTCTACCGCATAAAGTACCTTGACAACAAAATTTCTCAAAAATAAGATCATTTCTTTGATAACTTGAGGAAAACTCGATGCGGAAAACTCGTAACCCAACCGTAAAAAGTAGATTTTGTTCAATATTTTTCTTCGCATACTTGGAATAACTCTACCTTTCCTTGTCTTCTATTAGGAATGAGTACAATTATTTAATGAATTGTGTGTGTGAAGAAAATGATTAAATGTGAGTGACTAACTTACTCAATAACTTGACATGGTCAATTTTAAATTTCCCCTCTAAAATTTCAAAATGAATGAATAGTGATTATCAAAAATACATAAAGTATGATGGATATCTGGATCAAAACTGTCCAATTCAGGGAACATTCTTGCGTATGACTTGCGTATGAACTACTTGGCTTTTTAAATTTGAAATCTTAAAATTAAATATTGCTCGTCGATGTTTTTTATAGGGATCTACGTAACAAAATTTTCCATCGAGTGTTGACCTTCACGACCGTGATGTGTCCTCTTATAGGGATCACGTGGATGAGACGTCTTCTTAGCAATGCATGTAACCCAGCCTACTTGGGCTCATGCCTATTCAAAAAAAAAATATTTTCACTCAAAGCCAGTCATTACGATTTCTCAATGAAGATTTTCGTTCACATTCAGTCATTTTCATTCAAATTCATTTCATTTCTTACTTCGCCCCATGTATTAAGCATATGGTGAAAAATGAAAGGAATGACAAATCCTTTCATTCACGTTCATTCGTCTGAAATGAGAGAATCTTTCATTCATTTTCATTCATATGAAAGGAAAATCATACTCATTCACTATCATTCAGTCATAATCACTCATATGAATGAAAGTGAACAGGTTGCTTGGGCTATTTGCTTGAATATTGTTCCCCTTCTCATGAACATCTCGTTCCAGCCAACGCCGTTGAATGGCATGTGGTAAAATTATTCGTCATATTGCATGACGAATATCACTCCACGGTAATCTGCGCGAGAGGTTTCTTCTATCCATTAAGTGTCACCCACGTGTTAACCGGATGCATGCTGGATTATCTGAGTTTGTTGGAAAGGTAATTCTAACGACAGATTATTGGGAAATTAAAACATACAGGGCTTCCAAAATATTGGCTCATAGTCCACGGTCTGTTAACGTAGTTTTGGCCGAATTTGTTTATGGTTCGTGATCCATCAATGGACCAATCTTTTTGCGGTCCATGGTTCAACGATGCACCCATTTTTTTCGTGGTGCGTGGTCAATGTTCCATATATCAACGAATTTTTTTGGTCCAGGGTACATGATGTGCCATAATGTTCCAGTTTACCCTAGTCAATTGTGAATTGAAATTGCGGAATTAAATAAAATGTATGTAAATTTTAAACAAAATACGGGTTGACCACCCAACTCTGTTCGTGTTACCCTTCTCACGCTGATTAAGTTCTACCGGTGTCTTCAAATCCTTGAGAAACACTTGAACGAAACCCTTTCAGCCCGTGTGATTCCCACGATCTTGGTTGTTGCCCCTATCCTGAAAATCTTCTGTACTTTTGTCGTTATCAAACTGGCCAGGTACCTTCAATCGGAGGGATTTCTCACCTACACATACACCATTTTTGTGTGTATCACGATCTGCATGGTTTTTGAGGCCTTTGCCGCGCAACTGTTTGTAGAAGGATCCGATCCCTTCAGCCGATGAAAGTGGGGAGTAATTTTATCGACCGAGGGACTGCGCTGGTGACGCAGGATTTCTGTATTAACCAAACAGTTAGCTGGCTTCTTATTAAATTGTAAATATTTAAATGTTATTACCAATTAATGTGTGGTAAAATGAATGAATTAATGAATGTATTGATCTTAACGAAAATTTTAATTATAAACAATTAGAGGCGCAATCTTGCAACAGACAATTTGTGACAAACATAGTTATTTAGCAATGAAAATAATCTAGTTTAATTTCATGATAAAATTATTCTCGAGTGCCGAGTAGTCAATCCTAATAGAAAATGTAATTAATTATGTAGTTCCTTATAGCTCATGAACACTTGAAATAAGGTTTTATAATTTTTTCGGTGGGGCAAATATGTTTAGTTGATGCTTAGTATAATTTATCTTAAAATTGAACCACATTCGCCGAACCTTTGTAAATTCTTTGAATTGTCACATACTACCAGGGCCCGAGCTTTCCAAAAATCTAACGGGGGCAAAAAAATTCGGCGCCCCTAGCTGCTCGCGCCTTCGGCGCTCGCATGCTACGCTTTCCTCGGCCCAATAAGGGACCTATAATTAATTGAACGACATACAGACTGTTCTTTGCCACATGTTTGATGCACTAGCAGCTTCATAATTTGCAGGGTAGTATCACAGCAAGATTTTGGTTGCAGGGATGTTCAAAACATACAGTTTCAAAATACAAAACAGAAATGCACTTCATGCTTTGAAGTTCAAAGTCCAAAATACATTTATAAAAAAATGCATTATTTATTGTCAAAACACAAATTACAGTGTGGGTGATCGTGGATGATTTTTTTGCATTCTTGTGAACGAGACTTGAAGAGGAATAAAGGTTGGGTAGAAGTTAAGGTGTTGAATTGTGAGTATAAAATATCCCATTTGAATAAAGTTTATCCATGGTGAATAAAATCTGCTTTGGGTCTATAAAACGTAAGGAATTAGGCATTTCATTTTGCTATGAATTTCGGTATATACAAAAAAATACAAGATTAAACAAAATAATTAGCACCGCAATTAAAACTTATTTCACATGGAGAGGTGCATGGAAGTGAAATTGGAGAGCAATTTTGGTCTTAACATAGTGGGTGAACGCCGAGCGAGAGAAAGGAGCGAAAGTTCACTTGCTTACCGCTTAAAAATTCGTCATTCCTCGCCACAAAATCGTCAGATCCTTTCAGCATGTGATTTTTACACATAAATTCTTGTGGATTGAATGACTAATATTTCACAGTTAATAAATGTATATAAAGAAGCGTTGGGATAGTATGGCACAGTTTCAGAAAATTGCTTATAAAACTAGAAATATTTCATGATTTTTGAAAATATTTTATATATTATCAAACATTTAGTGTTCTCATTTACTGAACAGTTTAATAATTTGGCGCCCCAATTAGAGGGTACATATGGGACTTTTTTTCCGAGATATATCTCATCAAATTTTTTTTCAAATTTTTAGTTTTTCCAACTTTCGAGCTATTTTTCATTGACCAATCAATCTCTCCTTTTTTTACAAAAATGAATTCCACATGATTTTCCACAGCGGGGCGGTTTTCTCGCAAACTATCAATTTGCAGGGTACCAAATCCTGCTTGAGGTAGATGTTGGATCCATTTACGAGAATTATGTATTACCTCTACTGCACAAGTAAAAAAAATCCATTTTAAACTGACATTTTGAAAGCTACGACAACCGGCTTTTTGTAATAAATTATTATTATCCATATATATTTACGGCAAATTCGTTTAAAATTAAACAATACATTCACCCTAAAATGCATCTCTTCACAACATTATGCAAATAGTAAGACACAATGTCCGTAGTATATATTATATCTGAAAATGTTTTTTATTTTTTAATAATTTCTCAATTTAACACATGTAACCAAACATTCATAAACATCACGAATTAAATCCATTATTTGTTCATGTATTAGAAAATCCTACCAGGTATTGTATATACCACCTACTACCAATTTAGCTAACATCTTGCGCCCCAGACTCATTAAACAGTCTCGGAATATCTGGATGTCCTTCCAAAATTTCACTTTCCACTGTGCGCAGTAAATCCTGAAAAGTAGGAACGTTCGCATAAATCGCATTTTGTGGTCGCTGAATTTCATCCGTTCCGTTGACCAAATTATTTGACGAGTAGGGGACAACCCCAACAAACGTGCACAGACTAGTGTTTGTCTTTCCCAACTTGATGTGCACCATTGGAACTAAATTGGATACAGTCTGGCCAATAAAGTAATTCGAAATAATGAAAGAACTTGGGACAAAGTGGTACTCCTCGTCTACAGTTTGGTTGAGCATGAGGATATTTGTGACCACTAAATCGTCCTCGGCTCGAGAACAAGTGTAATTTACGTCGTGTACATGTTCAACAAAGTCATCGATTAGGGTGTCATACTCAAGGTCATGGGCCGCATAGTGGACGATGTGCCCATGTGGAATCAATATATTCTCCGGAACCAGGCCCCAACCAATCTTGCTTTCGTTCTCTTGTATGGCAACCAAATTCATCCCGATTGACCGCAAAATCACCTTAGCCACTCCTTCCTTCAACAGCGTGCCATTGACAATGATAATTTTACCCGAAAAAATT